AAGCGATAAACACCCGATGACACAAAGTGTCACCATGCGGATGAGGATCACCGTGGAGAGGTCCCAGAAACCGCGTTCAGACATTTGGCCATAATGATGACCTGCCTATATTGCGGCCCCTGGCAAAAGCCAGAGTGGGGCTTCAAATAACAAAAAATAACGTCCTAAGAAGGACGTAAGAAAAAAAATGATGTGAGAGATGACGAAGCCACCTTTATAGCGGAGATGGCACACTGGCCGCCCCTACCTCACCTCTCGTCTGGCGAGCCAAGGGGAGGTCAGTCTACCCGGGCCGCAGATCCGACATGGCCGTTTGTCGTTCCGAGGAAACGGCGATAAATGGATGCGGGTAAGGTAACCCAGTTGTCATGTTTGTTGATCGATGTCAGCGTGTCTACCGTCTCCAGTCACCTGAAAACACCCACCTGGATTTATTCGGCATCATGTGGGATCAAATTAAATGAACTAAATGATTAAAATTAATGATTTTGTTGTGGTCGTCGAGGGCGAGAGATGTCCATTTCGAGAACAGACTAAACTCGGCGAGTTGCTGTTGTCTCTGGGCTGTCAAACGAACCATCCATCCCCTGTACAACAGTCATTCTCACAGCAGGCAGTTTAGTGATTTACTTCATTCTCGTGGTAATAATAACATTATAGCTAATTATTTAAATGAACACTCTGTCCTTGCCGCTATTGTTTACTACTTACAAATGTTTTCGGTTCGTATGTTCGGCTCGGTATTATTACATTACTGAGTTGTTACTTATTTCATTTTGTTCCGAAATATATATTACTATCCCACACCAACAAGTGAATAATGTCAATATTATTATGTATTATTAATTGTTTTAGTTTATTGGCTTTATTAAACTTACTCAAAGGCAGCTTCTCGCCAGTGTATATATAAGCACGTGTGGATTATGAATGGAGAGAAATGGTGTATAATAAAGTATAAAGTTTTTTTTTATTTAAATGAGTTGTAATTTAATTTTCTGTTAAATTAATTTAAATTAGACTTAACATGCAAGGCTAAAACTAAAATTCAGAAGATGAGGGTGGGTAAGGAATGTGGTAGCTTCAACTCATAAAAATCTCACTTCACTTTAGGTTTAGGCCTTTGACATTTCAAAAAGCAATAATATTTATTATTTCGCTGCACATTTAAGAAAATTCAAAATAATAAATTGTGTAATTATTCTGGCGCTTGCCATACCTGTGGCACTGCCCTCAGACCTGAAATCATGGCTTTTATAATCATGGCAATATCCTTGCCATACCTGTGGCATTGCCCTCGGACCTGAAATCATGCCTTTTATAATCATGGGGGGCTCCTTGGACGTATAATGTTGAAGTCTCATCAATGTATTTGTTTGCATGTCATTACATTTTATTAGAATGGTATTCCGCACATTAGGGAGGGTTAAGGTGTAACAAACAAGGCAGGATTTATCTGGCAGACTCTTCTAGCCACTTCAGAATCACAAGCTCGCTTTTTCATCCTGTAAAATGAACAAATCGACGAGGTGATTTTTTTTTTTTTTTATGTACTTAAACATTTTCTTGTATAAGAAACTTTTGACTATCCTCCGAATGACGGTCGGTAAAGATGGCGGCCGCAAAATATCCTTTCGAGCCACAGTCGCATGACCTAATATGCGGTTTTACGGTGACTACCACCACCGCCATGAGTCCCCCACGCCGCGCGGATTGGGGCTAAAGTAGCTTCAGGAGATGTGGAAGCTGCTGCTCGTGGGTCCTAGCCATCTAGTTTAGCCCCAATCCACGCGGCATGGGGGACTTGTGGCGGTAGTCATCGTAGAACCGCAAATTAAGTCACAGGAAGTGTGCAATTGACATGTGACTGTGGCTCGAAAGGATATTTTGCGGCCGCCATCTTTATCGACCGTTATTCGGCGGATAGCCAAACTTTTCTTTCCAGGGGAAGAATGAGATCCACACACAGTAAATGGGCTGCTATTTCATATTTGCAGACAATCAATGCCTTTTCTACAATGACGGTAGACTTCAAGAACATTTGAACAGGCTAAGTTCAACATGCAGAAGATATCACATGCATGTCAGCAGAATTTCTTTTCCGCTACACATCAGGTTGAATGGTACCTGTCTGAAGCAAATTAAATAATTTAAATATCTAGAGGGTATATTCTCAGAGACTGGAAGAACAGATCGGGAAATAGAAGAGGCCAATGAGCCAGTACACTTATATATCAAGTGACACTGTTATTAAGACATCTAAATATAATTATGAGTGCAAAAAAAAACAGATTATAAACAGCATATTCCTACCAACACTGTGCTACCAGTGCCAGACTTAGACATGATCAAAGACAGCTATCCTCAGAATAACGGGCACAAAATATGGCGACCAAAAACAGGGCCTCAGTCTCGTGTCACTTGGGCAAAGCAGCAGGATATGCGGAAGCTGCTGCTCGTAAGTCCCAGCCATCTAGTTTAGCCCCAGTCCACGCGGCGTGGAGGATACTCTCGGCGGTGGCCGTACTTGCCGGAAGTTCGCAAGTTAAGTTGCCGGAAGTGTGCAATTGACACGTGACTGAGGCTCTGTTAGGGGTTTTTTAGCGGCTGCTATAGTGTGTGCCCATTATTTGGAGGATAGCCTCAGAGACTACCCTATGTAAAATTAACATCTGTGAAATGAGATGTCTGAGAAAAGCCACCAACTTAACCATCCAAGACAACATTAGAAATGATATTATCTGACAGACATTAGAAATTATATTATCAGACAGACAACATTAGAAATTATATTATCAGACAGACAACATTAGAAATGATATTATCAGACAGACAACATTAGAAATGATATTATCAGACAGACAACATTAGAAATGATATTATCAGACAGACTGTAGGAACAACATCTGGCAGCAAATCCGTTTAGAAACAGAAGATGAAATGGTTTGGTCATTGAGTAAGAATGCAGCCAGAACAACTTCCAATGCAGGCGCTACACATGAAAGGATCTGAAGTGAAAGCAAGAGGTCGTCCTTGGAAAACATGGATTGATGACATTAAAGAGCTTTTACATCAACATGGAATGACAGTTGCTGTTGCTGCCCATTAAGCAATGGATGGCAAAACTCCCCCCCCCCCCCCCCCCCCACGCTTGATGGCAGAAGTGGAAACTGATGATGATGTTGAACATTTTTTTTTATAATGTTCGTACAGTGGATCATAGAGCAAGAGTTGTGAAAAATCTAATAGTTTTTAAAATGTATTCATTTTCCACTCAGTGATATTTTCACACGGTCACAATCTACAGAGATGGTCCTCTAGTAGAGGTGGATGTTTGGATGTGAAGTCTGGTCCTCTAGTAGAGGTGGATGTTTGGATGTGAAGTCTGGTCCTCTAGTAGAGGTGGATGTTTGGATGTGAAGTCTGGTCCTCTAGTAGAGGTGGATGTTTGGATGTGAAGTCTGTCTTCATATATTTTAATCCTTCCCACATTCTTAGACTGGAGTCACCATTGTCTGGTGGATAGATGGTGGCCTGAAGGTTGTAGATTAAAATTGGCATTAGGTCAGATTTTTTTTTTTAGAAATGAACTTGTCTTCCAGGCCGACCCAACCTCAAATTGAAAGCAGGTGAAGTCCTGGGAAGTAAAGGCTGCCGGCATGATGTGGACGACATCAGCCACAAAGTGCTGATTGGTCTAAACATTTTGGATCTAGCACAATGTGAAATGTACCCAAGGACATGGAAAAGAGTCCTTTATTTTTTACTTACACATTCCAGGTCTTGATGTATGAAATGATGACAGTCAGTTCATCGTCCCCTTTTCTTTTGAGAACATTTTCAGAAAATAGGAAAAATGTTTGGAGCATAGTCATTGCAGGCAGTGTCTGTGCTATATCATCAAGACTCACCAAATGCTGCCTGCCTCATGCTAGTTACTGTACTGCCTGATGAGATACAACTGGATCCTCTCACTGTTGTTCATGAAGTCAATCCACTTACTGTTGTTCAGAAAGTCAATCCTCTCATTGTTGTTCATAAAGTCAATCCTCTCACTGTTGTTCAGAAAGTCAATCCTCTCTCTCACTGTTGTTCAGAAAGTCAATCCTCTCACTGTTGATCATGAAGTCAATCCTCTCACTGTTGTTCATAAAGTCAATCCTCTCACTGTTGTTCAGAAAGTCAATCCTCTCACTGTTGATCATGAAGTCATTCCTCTCTCTCACTGTTGTTCATAAAGTCAATCCTCTCACTGTTGTTCAGAAAGTCAATCCTCTCACTGTTGATCATGAAGTCATTCCTCTCTCTCACTGTTGTTCATAAAGTCAATCCTCTCACTGTTGTTCAGAAAGTCAGTCCTCTCACTGTTGATCATGAAGTCAATCCTCTCTCTCACTGTTGTTCATAAAGTCAATCCTCTCACTGTTGTTCAGAAAGTCAATCCTCTCACTGTTGTTCATAAAGTCAATCCTCTCACTGTTGTTCAGAAAGTCAATCCTCTCACTGTTGTTCAGAAAGTCAATCCTCTCACTGTTGTTCATAAAGTCAATCCTCTCACTGTTGTTCATAAAGTCAATCCTCTCACTGTTGTTCATAAAGTCAATCCTCTCACTGTTGTTCCTAAAAAAGTCAATCCTCTCACTGTTGTTCATAAAGTCAATCCTCTCACTGTTGTTCATGAAGTCAATCCTCTCACTGTTGTTCATAAAGTCAATCCTCTCACTGTTGTTCAGAAAGTCAATCCTCTCACTATTGATCATGAGATAACAACTCAGTACAGTAAAGTCTGTCCTCCCACTGTTCATCATGAGATAACAACTCAGTACAGTAAAGTCGATCCTCTCATCTTTCTCACCTTCAAACATCCTTAAGTAACTGACATTAAGAATCTTACGTTTGGCACTAACCAAGATGTGAAATTGTGACTCATTTTTTATTGACAGAATCCTCGAGGACCTGTGAGTGGTTTTGTGATGCCTGAAGACAAGTGTAGTTGATTCAAAATGTCCCGATACCAGTTCAGCAAGTTGGTGATGGAGAAATGTCTCCGCCGTTCCTTCTACGATGCTGTGTTGGAACTTTATGAAACAGTGCAGGGGACGCGCATCATTTCTGTGAGTCTGGAGGGCAACCTGTCACTTGTTGTCAACAAAGATGAAAAGTTCATCATCAAACTCAATGAGATTGCTCAGAGAGCAGACGACAGGGAAGACCACCAGCCAGGGATCAAGGCTGCCACTGAGATGAAAGTCGAGGGCGGAGTCAGTAAATATATTGTGAAAGAGGAGGAGTTTCTTTCAAGTACATCCAATCTTGTGAATGAAGGTATTCGTCCCGGTAATACTTTAAAACATCATGAAAAATTTGCTGTTGAGGCTAATGTTGAAACTGGCAAGGCTTACTTCAACGAGCCGAAGTACAAGTTTGGAGACAGTGATGCGGACAGTGACTCAGAGGAGGATGCTGATTCTGATCTGAGTACTGTTTTCCAGACAGTAGTTGCTTCCAGTGAAACTCACACCTTAACCTCCAACAAAGTGGAGGCTGAACAGGCTAGTGTAGATGATATCTGTTTCCTGCCTGTAGGAAAAGTTGATGCTTTCAAACGAAAGTATGATTACATCCATGACCAACTAGAGTCGAGCGAAAGAAAGTCTTCCAAAAAGAGTGCAAGGGTGTCTCATGCTGACAGAAGTGACCAGGAAAACAGAGCTGAGGATGGTGAAAGAACAGGAGGAATCTCCAGTCTGCATGTGGATGATGCCAGGCCCTGCAGTCCTCAACTACTTCCTCACACAGGTATGTCAGTCCTCAACTACTTCCTCACACAGGTATGTCAGTCTTCAACTACTTCCTCACACAGGTATGTCAGCCCTCAACTACTTCCTCACACAGGTATGTCAGTCCTCAACTACTTCCTCACACAGGTATGTCAGTCCTCAACTACTTGCTCACACAGGTATGTCAGTCCTCAACTACTTCCTCACACAGGTATGTCAGTCCTCAACTACTTCCTCACACAGGTATGTCAGCCCTCAACTACTTCCTCACACAGGTATGTCAGTCCTCAACTACTTGCTCACACAGGTATGTCAGTCCTCAACTACTTGCTCACACAGGTATGTCAGTCCTCAACTACTTCCTCACACAGGTGTCAGTCCTCAACTACTTCCTCACACAGGTATGTCAGTCCTCAACTCACACAGGTATGTCAGTCCTCACTCACAGGTATGTCAGTCATCAACTACTTCCTCACACAGGTATGTCAGTCCTCAACTACTTCCTCACACAGGTATGTCAGTCCTCAACTACTTGCTCACACAGGTATGTCAGTCCTCAATTACTTCCTCACACAGGTAGGTGTAGTGTCTCAATCTCCCAGTTGTCAGAGACGTTGCTGTTTGGGTTTTATCTTGACAGTTCATGTCAGTCACTGGTGCTGAGTTAGTAGATGTGAACGTTGTGTGACGTCACCGTTTATATGAAGGGGTAAATCCAGCTTTCTTGTCAGCATCGTTTGTCAGCCTTTAAAAATAAAGTGTGTTTGTTCATTCATCATCATCATGATGTGTCTTGTCAGTTTGGGTATTCGTGTGTTTTTACAGAGCCTAGGTTATTATTTTCCTGAACTAGTGCCTTGGAAGGCTGACCCAGGAACAAATGCCTGCAGAATATCAATGTGTCGGCCAAAAGGTGCAAACATTGCAGCCATGTTGTAAACAGGTACAAGGATTTTACATCTTTGGATGAATGTAGAAGAAAAAAAGAACTGCTTCTGTTAATGATGTCCCTTTGTGCCACTAGATCATCCAGCATTATTTCTTGTTGTCTTTCCTGTGACAGTTAAAGCAAAACTGAACTGATTTGTTTTACAGAACAAACACATAACTGAGATGGTTGAAATTAGGACAGACAGTTCTGTTCTGTATTCTTAAAAACTTCTCTTGTTGGTAGCAGCACTGCAGCCATTTTCATGTGACCATTCCCTGAGATTTGTTGTCAGCGAGCCAGTTTTGAGTCATGTCGTGTTCCCTCTGTAGGAAATTCTGCTTTTGGGATATTGTCCCCACGAATGGCCACACTAGGATTCTTGTCACGGGATGAACCTGTCCTGTTTTCCTTTAAATGTTTTGATTTTAAAAAATGTCTTTTCTTCCTGTTTTATCTTTCAATGTCTTTTCTTCCTGTTTTATCTTTCAATGTTTTCCTTTAAATGTCTTTTCTTCCTGTTTTATCTTTGCTTTTCACTTTTATTAAATGTGGGGGGTAGGGCAAGGGAATATAAATACAGCTAGCAGTCTATTTTTTTTTAATAATGGGTCTTGGATTGGGGGGGGGGGCTGTTGAACTTTTAATCAGGTTGCAGCTGGCGCCATTAGTATGGGGACATTTTGTTTGCTGCTGAGGAAGTGGGCAGAACATGTATGGGAATGTCTTAAATGCAGTGATGTCAGTTCCTGATGTAATCTTTGTCAGCGAACAGGCCAATGTGTCTCCTGCGATGAGTTTTGATTCATTTCGTAAGTTAACATCCTTTTCTTCATAACATTTAGTGTTATTATAGTTTTGTTTAATCTCTGCCTTGAAGTGTGCATCAATACCTAATGATGGCCTTATTTTATTGTGATGTAACCATGCACGTGGCACATTCAGACACGTTAACTTTGCTGGGCCCAAAATCTGTTAGACAGCTGATGGAGGTATTGACCCTTGCATGTTCACAACTGTCAGTGGAGGTACAACCACCCTGCCACAAATTTAATTACCAATGCTTGGAATATCTCTGAAGCCTCCAAACTTGTGAATGGATCCAGGAACCGGACAGTTGATTGCCCCTCATAAAGGTTTGACTTGTTCGGTGTTGCGTACACCTGCAACCACTTTTTTTTTACATTAACTCCCCATTTGTAGAGGTCTTACACAAAAATTTTGTAAAATGCTAACATGAAAACTGTGGTTGTCTTTGACAGCTACAGGGCCGGTGATCACAGAGGAAGACAGTGGTGGGTGTAATGCTGGCTTGTCTGAAAGCCAGATAGCCCAGCTGGCAGTTCTGCAGATGAGAGAGCCCATGTTCCGGCAGCAGGATCTGGAGGAACTGGCTAGACAGCAACAGCAGTGGCAGATGGTTGCCTACCAGCGAAGTTTCTTGGAGAACTCCTACCTTCAGCAGTATCAAAGAGACACTGGTCGGCTGAGGTGGGATTATTCTGCTCAGAACAAAGAAAGTACACCACATTTAGATGATGCAGAGAAAATATTCAGAGAAATGCAGAGTCCGACTACTACCACTGAGGCAGTAATGTTGACGGCAACAGCCACCCATGAACAGACTAGAAAGTTGGCCAGAGAAGAGAGCGATGAGGCTGGTGGGATTATAGACGCAGGTAGACTGTCCTCTCAGCACCTGCGTTTCCTAGCAGAGGAGCAACATATCATTAGTCAGTTGAATGCTGAATATGAAGAGGGAGAGCTCAGAACTGAGTCATATTTGTGCGTTCTTTGTGGAGTCAAGTATTCATCCAGCGAGCATTTATTGAGGCATATGGAAAAGCATCGTGTGGACTTTGAGCGCTCATGTTCTGTATGTCAGTCTGGAACTCTGACAGGGAACATGCTGATACTTCACATGGAGGCCTCACATGGGCCAGAGACAAGTCTGCCACTTCCGGCTTCGGTACAGACAGCATCCAGCGCTGCTGTTGGCTCTTCAGTTATGTCTGCCACCGACCTCCAGCTGTCATTTCCTTCATCTTTACATCTCGACTACAGTGACCATAACCTTGAAGACACTGCAGTAAAGCATCTGCCGCAGCAACAGTCTTCTGAACAAATCGTGAACAAGGTGGAGGAGGCCGACGACCAAGTGATCACCGACTGTGATGTCAAGGACCTATATAAAAGTTTTCATTATGCTTTGGGCGCTTCAACTTCTAAAGTAGAAGATGATGCAATAGAAGACTTGCAGCAGGATAACTTTCTTGGAATGCCTTCACAGTTCTGTTCTCTAATTGGCTGTCAGGTTTGTGGGGAGAAGTTTGCACTTAGTGATGCGCTGGATGAGCATGTGGCCACGCAGCATCCGGATACTTGCTGCAGTTACTCCTGCAAACCTTGTTCCTTGTCCTTCAGCACACACATGGACTACAGCAAGCACATGACTCGGCATGAAGCCTCCTCCACCAGCCTCAAGTGCAGCCACTGCCTGAAATCCTTCAAATCTGTGAAGCAGCTGCGACTGCATCACGTGACCGCTCACGCTTGCTGTCATTTTTGTGAGTACTGTCGTGCAGGGTTCCCAGATGCCATGTCACTCCAGCTGCACGAACAGTTGCACACCCTGGATCCTGACAAATTGACATTTCGTTGTGATATCTGCAACAAGGCTTTCTACACACAATCTCAGTGCAGTGCACACAAGCGCACACACAAGGATGAGAAGGCTCACGCCTGCGACGTTTGTGGCAGTGCATTCTTCAAACGAGGCGATCTCACCAAACATGTTCGTAACTGTACATTCTCCCAGCCGGCTGTTTTCTTGTAAGTTTTGCGGCAAGAGGGGCACAAGGATGGACAACATGCGCAGTCATGTGCGCTCTCACCACAAGAACATGCCACGGGACCAGATCATCACTATGATTGAGGTCATTGAGTAGTCTCCATCATTGTTACTCTTCTTTCTTTGATCAAGATTTTTCAATAACACACTACTCTTACTTCCCTTGTCGTACCCATTAACATTTAGTGAAGAATATTATCCACCCGGACAGTTAGACAGTTTTGTGTGTGTGTGTGTGCACGTGTTACAAAATAAGACTGTTGTCCCAAATTTACTAAACTGCCCAAGTCATGTTTTTCTCCTCCAAGTTCTAAGACAATTTGTTATTTGTTAGTTAGTTAGTTAGTTAGTTAGTTAGTTGGGTTATCCTCATTGCACTCCGGACATGTCCATAGGTGCTCAGATCCTCCCCTCAGTATGAACCCCAACGTCCGATGGCTAATAGTACCAGTTCTATGTTGATTAACAAGTCTTCTGGCGTAGCTGGTGTGCGTCTCGTTTTTTGCTGTGCCGATCTTAATTCCCAAGTCTGCCATTCTGGCGAGTGATGTGGATTCACTGCCACCAAAGTCCTCTATTCTTCCCATTTCTCTGAGGGCATTGATAATATCAGCATGATCCATAGGCTGACCGTCGGTAGTGATAGCGGATCCAGCCAACCTGTCAGCTCTTTCATTTCCATCGACGCCTGCGTGTCCCGGAACAAAAATAAAGGTGATTCCACGAACAGTGGACTTCTGTAATGATTCAAGCCATTGTCTTCGCACTGAACTTGCCTGAACCCTCCGGATCATACTCATTGAATCACTGAGTATACACACGCGGGTGTATTTTTGTGTTTCAAGCCAGGCAAGCGCTTGTGTCACTGCCATCACCTCCATCGTCATGCTGCTGGTTGTCATGGAGAAGGCGCCGTTGGCTTCTTTGACTGTTCTGCCCGCTGAGCGTGCTGTAAATGCCCATGCGCTTCTTCTTTGGCGTATAACGGATCCGTCTGTATAGATTATTGCATCTGCTTCATCTGAATTTTCACCGATGAGAGCGTTGACCTCTGCATTAACAGCAACAGGATTCTCTTCTCTACATCGCCTGTTGAGTGTGACAATACAGGAAAATGTGGACTTCCGGTGTAAACAATTTGTTATATATAGGGTAAAGGGCCATTTTTGTGCCTTTAAATTTATTGGGCATATAGGGTTGGACCGATTCTTTATAGACCAATCGACACTCACTGGGTGATGTGGTCGGTATCACACTGGCCGCCATTACTTCACATGACTACTTCCTACCCATTTAAGACTGGGAACCAAGATAATTTCTGAATCCATGACCTTCAGATTCACAGTTGAGCATCTAGCCACTGCACCAGGGCAGCTTGTGTATGTGTGTGTGGTGTAGCAGGTCTCTGGCAGAATAACCTAATGAACAAATTGTTGGCCAGTTTCCGCAGCTCATGCATTTTTTGTGTGTCTTAAATGTCCTGAGTACACCTTCGTGTTTCATCTCTTCTTCCAGGAAGCACACCTGCCAACACTGATCTCTCTCTAAACCTCTGAGCCATTTCATCTGGTCTGTATATTTACGTGTTCATATGGCACATACACTGACATGTGGGATGTGGTTATTTCTAGCCCAGCTTAGACTCAATAAAAATATATTTGACATAAACACCAGTAAAGGGCCCTTGTCCGCACCTTCAGACGTATCCAGCTGACACAACTAAACCTGTATTTGATAGACCAGTCACAGTTTGGTGAGTGATATGGTTAGCATTAGGCTGGCTGCCTTTACTTCCCACAAATTTACCTGGTACCCAGTTAAGACTTGGTCAGCCTGTCAGCCAAGGCTAGTTATGAACAAAATACAAAAATCCAGCACCTTTAAGATTTGAAACCTCAACCTTTGGATCCAGAGTTAAGTGTCTAGCCACTACACCATGGGACCTCCCTTGAACATGCATACCTATACTTTATTAATTTGGCTGGATTGTGTTTTCTGATGATCTAATCTTTTGAAACGTGCTTGTTTGTATCAGCTTATGTTGTTTTTTTTTTTTTTAAATTTATTATGGCCACATTTTTTTTTTTTTTTGGGTGTAATTTAAATTCATATAGAAGGATAGATTGTAATTTGTAATGCACAGGGTAGGTTAAGTACAAAAATTTAAAGAAACAGCTATTACTATTAGAAGAAACAGGAAACAGATAAAAACATTCTCCAGGTTGTCTGGCTTGTGTGTGGTTTCCAGCATCTGTCTGTGATTAGTGATCTAATTGATGGCATGTATATTGCAGTTTCTAGCAGTGTAGAATATTGTTCATGTCCTGCTGTGTGTACAAGGAGGTCTGTCTGCCGCTGGTGCCTTTCAATGTGTGTAGATTAATCAGTGTTCTTTCTGTAGCAAATCTGGAGCGGGACGCTTGCATCATGTATCTTCTCCTGCCTTGGTTGTACCATGTGATCAAACCATCTATGTATTTATCTCTTTGTCTTCCCTGATCTAGTTTGCAAGATGTACTATGTTTGTCATGTTATTTCACCTCAAAACTCCAAAGATTTATAGCCTGACTGTCTGGATCTCATTTATATCTTTGGTTGACATTTGTATCTTTTTTGTTTTTGTAGAATTATCTAATTCATACCCACAATTCCCCCACCCCCTACTGTAACTAATTAAAAATTACTTTAAAAGACCACTATTTCACACAGGCCACTAAAAATATCTGGCCTAGTCAGAATTCTAACACTAAGGTAGCTGCAAATTTTGGCATCAAAATGCCATGTATTTATGGGGAAAACCCTAGCTGAATACTATCTTTAGTAAATATATTTGTATCCAGGCCTCCTAAATGCTACAGAGGCGAAAACAGAACCCAGCGCCATCAAATGTGCTTCTCAGGGACATGTCATGGCAGAAATGCCAGGTTGGCAGCTTCTCTGGGCGACACGATTTAACTGACTTTCCCGTTTATTTGACAGCTGTGTCTATTTGCATCTGGTGGCAGTCAGCATCAGTTGTTCACGTTGCCTCAGTTTTATAGCGATGACTTCACAGTCAGCAAATCACCAAGAAGGCAGGGATGCTGAGCACATGATGCTGGTCTCACCTCATGTGATAGGTCATTGGTCATTCAGTGGCTGGTATTGTACCAGCTGGGTTTATTTCTGTTCCTGGTACCATGTTTAGGTTACATTGACATGGGATGCCCATCTCAGGAAGGATGGGACCTGACAAGTTGACTGTGACCTTGTCCCCTGAAGCTCTCTGAGGTCTTGTCAGTGTTTTGTGTGTGCTAATTTGTTGTTGTGCCCCTGTGTGGGGGGAAGACAGGTCAAAACTGTTGGTAGATATCCTCTGGAAGGTGTGTCTCTACACATTGCTACTCATAAACTGTTTGAATTAACAACTTCTAAAGAATAAGTCAACTGTGTGCTGTTTTTTCAACGATCAAATGTACATGTGACAGGACATCAGCTGGTGGCGGCTGGTTCCTCGCCGTCTATTCTTTCCAGACAGTTTAATGGTCAGATAATTGTATGGTTGGGTCAACCCAGAGCTGTACCGGTCAGGAAATATTCAGCCATTTCTGGGGGCTGACATGTGACCTTTCACTGCTGGGGAAGACTGTGGTAGGAATCATGGTATGTTGCTACTAATAGGTGTACCCACGAGTTATTTTGTGGATATTATGATCTGTGCCTGGGATGTTGTGAACTATATCCAATATGTGCCTGCTCTAGTTTCATCTTTCACATCATATATGTGCCTCTGATGTTTTAACTATGTGAAGTTGCTGAATTGGTTTTCCCTGTGTGGCTTCCGGGGCCCCATTTTGGAGGAAAAAAGTATAGACTCTACTGCCCTCCTAACAAGTATAGACTCTACTGCCCTCCTAACAAGTATAGACTCTACTGCCCTCCTAACAAGTATAGACTCTACTGCCCTCCTAACAAGTATACCATAAAAAGCCACTTCATCTTCTTTGTGTTCACCAACTGTAAACTCTAGCGAAAAGTTCTGGTTGTTCATCCACTTCTGGACTGCAGTCCTGTTCCAAAACCTGAGTGTTGCGTGTGCATCCGTTTTAGATTTGACTAATTTGTATGCAGACCACTGGTGCAGATGCACTCCGACTTCGAAGGAAGCTCCCAGTTAGTTGACTCTTAAACATACTTTTGGGTAGGCAGTGGGTCTATTCTTGTTTTCCCTATAATAGGGCCCAGGAACCCACAAAGTCACTAATCAGGGGTATTTCCTTCATAGTTTGAGAATCTCTGCGTTAGAGATGAGGAGCCAACAGTCTGCATACAAATAAGCCAGCGTTTGTAAAGTGAACACAAAACTCAAGCCGTACAAGATCAGAGCCTAGAAATGGATGAACAGCCAGAACTTTCTGCCAGAGTACAGCTGGTAAATGCGAGGAAGAGCTAAATAGTTGATGTTTGAAACTTGATCATCGTTACGCTCTTGTATGTATAAACTATGCTTTTTTGTTTTGCACAGTATTGTAAATAGTAACATTGCCGAAATATGTTTTTTTTCTTAAAATATTTAACTTTGACTTCTATTATTGCATTGGTACACATACTACATTGAACCACCAAATTGCATTTATGATGCTAACCTGACAATTATTTTGATTTGAAGAGAAGTTTTCCAGATGTTATGATTCCTGTAATGCTCACATATGATCCCTCTCTCTCTCTCTCTCACACACACACACACACAGACCCGATATCCATGCTTTAAGCTTAAATAACTCTACATCTTTACAATAATAAGAACTCCACAGCGGGAACTTACAATTCATTAGTAAAAGGTCCCTCATCGACAATTGTTTCGGCCCATGATCCCCCTAGACAATTTAGGAGGGTGGGCCGACCTGAAGTCATGCCTTGCGCATCTGCTGGGTGTAACGGACAATCGAAATCGGACGAGAAAAAAGGTGGTTATGTAACTGGTATTATGAGGTTTGGTGATATAT